ATTACGTTTTGATGGGATGGCAGGGCTTTCCGACCATCCTAGACATTAATTTCAGGAATATAAGCATTTAAACATGATCATGGTGAACTCCAAAATTACATTTCATGCATTAGTATAGGCAAGATTGCTTAAAGGAACTTTGAACGCGGAATAATCTCAAATAAGCGGGTCTGAATATTTCAAATACTGCAGATCTATTAGGATTTTCACACAAAATCATCCCCAGGATGATCAGATATAGAATGAAAAGTTAAATGGACGTTAATCCTTCGGGTTGAAATCCTTTGCTGATGCAAGAGTTCGACGGATAATGGTCACACTGGTGTATACATGTGTACAGCTAACCACTCGTATTCAAGGGTACCTGTCTACTAGGGCGGCTAGCCAATCCCTATTTCAGATGCTTTCTCAGGCGCATTTGAGTTTAGTCAACAACCACAGATCCCACGTTTGGTTTATACTGCAACTATGCTGAGCAGACCTTAGTTCCAGTTTCTGGGAGAGAGCCTGTTATCTAGCGTGATCAACAATTTGAGCATGGCCAGCTCGCTCAAGCCCTCGACCACGATGAGTTGTGACTTCGTGCTACCAAGGGTTTCGTCTACCCAATTTCCCTCACAAGGCTTGAGTTAACTCGTGGTATGTTTTTCAGGCACTTTCCAAAAGTGCCGCATGCTGGAGTCGACCCCCTCCATTTCGTTAACATCAGGAATTCCCCTCCCTGACAAATCGACCATGGTGAGATTCGAAGCAGGGTTTCATTGTCAGAATACGAACGTTCTAACCACTCGGCCACGTGCTTACTGGTACAAGCTGAATGAAATAATAGCCTTTTTATAGCAGAATATTTTTAGGCGCAACTCGTCTTCCTTTAAGATACATTCTTGAATTGATTTTATTGTAAAGATTGATCAATCTCTGATGTTTTGGAAGGGTAGTACGTCAAAAATGGACACATGGCACAGTGTATAAAGTCGTTAGTTAGATCCAGTGACAGGACCCAAAGATTGTGAGTTCAATACCCGGTTAAGGCAATGGAGAGGGGAATTAACAGGAGATAACTGACCTCCATCAAAACATAGCACGTTGAACTTGAAGAGTCTACCCCAATGAGAGAAATAAAGGGTTCAGCTCGAAATTCCAACCACCTGAAGAAGGCCGGAGCGTACAACGGCCGAAACGTTGTGATAAATATGGCGACAAAGATGAGGACAACAGTCCGAATAATATAAATAGTGAGCAATGTGTTTTCTGCTTGAAAATAACCTCAATTCTTACCCTATGTAAACCCCATAAAACACATTTGGGAAGTGGTGCAAACAGAGATTCGATTTCTGGAGGTGCAGTCATCCATTGTAGAAGAATCCTGGGATACGGTAAAGAGTGTATAGATCAAAATTTCGAAACGATATTTCTAGAAGAACCTCGAATCTATGACAAGAATTGAGGCTGTTATAAACGCAAACGAGAGGTGAATTTGATAATAGAAGATTCTGTATGTCAATTAAAACTATATATAATGAATTGCTATATAGGAAAAAAAGGAAGGAAATGATTGCTACGTCAAAGTCTAATGGTGAACAAGCTCGACATTTTGCTCATAAGAATTTGGACCCCGTACAGGAGAGCTTGCGTCAAAACTAAAACAGGTTTCCTAAAAACAGAAAAGAAAAAACATGAAAGAAAATCAAAAACTAGACAAAACAAAATATAAACAAAATAAATAAACTTTTTCAAAGAAAAAAAAATACACTGAATGACGAACAGACACATAATCCGTCTAGCCGAGTTAATAAAAAACTCGGATTAGTCTATATATTCTGGAAAGAAACAACGCAATTGCATAACATTTTCAGAGATAATAAAGTCCAGCATATGCCATGATATTTTATGGGGGGTTAAAGAAGCTGTCTCTCTCTCTCTCTCTCTCTCTCTCTCTCTCTCTCTCTCTCTCTCTCTATATATATATATATATATATATATATATATATATATATATATATACACTTATATACACATATAAACGCATATATATATATATATATATATACATATATATCCATACACACTGTAACAAATAAAAGTATATATACGTGTATGTATATAACCAGACATACAAATACAAGCAAGTAAATACCCCATATAATCGCCTACATATACATACAAACGCATATGTGTATACTTAGAAATACCATATAATCACCTACAAATTCAACACAATTATAAAAACACATATCAACACACAATATACAATTACCTTTTCGCATATACAGCATAATAAAGACAATTAATCCTATATATATATAAACACCAGGTGTTATTTCATGTCTAGATAATTTAGTTGGGTGGATATGAGTTTATAACTCTGCGTTTCACGCTTTTGCGATCATCAGACAAACTGGTTTATTTTTTAAAACTGGATCCATTTATGTTTGTCTATTTTTCGTAGTGGGAGGGGCGTTTACTTCCGTGTTTGTTTAGAATGACACTCTCATACACATATGCATACAGGTGTACGCATTTTAGTTCACGCAAACACATCCATATAAACAATCCGAGGCTGGGCGCAGATACACATCCATGCGTTCGGGCATATATACATACGCAGATGTAATTCTATTTCGGTGTCAAGACATTAGCTTTTATTATATGTAGCGATGTTCCTTTTTTTTGGAATGAGTAGGGGTTCTTGACGCTTTTAAGATCTACCGCCTGCACCGTCAGATAAGCTAACACTTCCTCACACACACGTACACACATGTAGACGCGCACATACACTCGTATTGATCTGCATCTTTCAACAACAACTTTGGTTAAGCTGGGTTCTTTTTGTGGGCATGATGATGATATGTTAGCTCTATCAATGATATTGAGCGCTTTCCACTAAGTACTGCGCATAAAAAATAATCTATGCGTGTGTGTGTATACACACACACACAAACACACACACATATATATATATATATATATAATACGAGATAAGGATATATATTTTTATATATCAAGAACAGTATTGAGGAAATTGTAAGACAAGATGAAAAAAAGTTTGTTGACGTTTTTCCTGAGTACACATGGACACGAACGAGAGAACAGGAACGAGTTTCAAAAATTTGTTTTTAAAGAATTTTTTAAATAACGTTTTTGCAGTCTAGCCAAATTCATTTAATTTTTGAAACTACAAGCGTCTCTAATTCAAGTGCAGTCACAACAACGTCAACAAACCTAGACAGATGAAGTATTAACGGATGAAACGTCTCAGAAATAAACTTTCCCCACCCCTTCCACTCTCTCTGATATATATATATATATATATATATATATATATATATATATATGCAAATTTATTTAAACGGAACGCTGATCTTATATAAAAATTTCAGTTATCTGTTTGGATTAGTTGTGCTCTTATGTCCATCGTCTTCTCATATTGAATTTTATATGTTCTAATGTTAATTATATTTAATGAATATGCCCTGATGATGGTCTAAAATAGACCGAAACGTCCGACGTTGACTTTATATTAAGATTAATACAACATAATTGCATATTAAGATTTTTGTTTGTTTTTCTGTATATCTTTCTTCATATATATATATATATATATATATATGTGTGTGTGTGTATGTGTGTGTGTATATATAGCTTTATATATATATATATATATATATATATATATATATATATATATTAAAAATTTATTTAAAAATATGCGAGTTGGAATCATATTTTTAAATAATTAATTAAATAAATAATTATATTTATGCTCTACTTTTGTACCCATCACTATTTTTAAAAAATAATAACAAAAATACTAAGGAACTTTGGATTATTTACCTAACCAGTTCTTTCCTATTTTCTATATATTTTCACATATATATATATATGTATATATATGCTTTTATATATATATGTGTGTATGTATATATTTATATATATATATATATATATATATATATATATATATATATATATATATATATATATATATATGCATATATATAAGCTTTATATATATATATATATATATATATGTGTGTGTGTGTGTGTGTGTGTGCGCGCAGCTATGTAGAAAAATAGGAAAGAACACGTTTGGTAAATAATCCAGGGTTCTTTAGTATTTTTGTTCTTATCTTTAATAAAATAAAATAAAACAAAATTATCCAGACACTTAACAACATTCTATGGTGCCAAAATCTAGCTTTCTCTGTGAA